AAACAGCTTACTCTTATCAAAAGATCAGCATTGTTTACTCTATATAAATTAGAACATTGTAGTAGATTATAGCTATGTGTTTTGTTTACTAATGAATATGTCGCTACTTTATATGATAAAACCTTTATCTAATAAGCTATATATAGATATTCGGATAGTTAAAAAGAAATTTTTTCATTAAGATATAGCTTTACAGTAGAGATATACAGATATTGCATTTTTTATATAATTTTTTAAGCCTAGTACAGGTTATAATAGTGCTTTTTTGTTTCTTTTTGTTTCTTTTTTGTTAGTTTTGATATTTCTTCTTTTGTTATTTTTCTTTTTTCTTTTTCTTTTGTTAATATTTGTCTTCTTTTCTTTTGTTTTTTCTTTTTTTATTAGTTTTTTTCCTTTTATTAGTATTCATTTTCTTGATAGCATATTATACTTTCTTCTCTTTTTCAACTTGCTCTTTATAAAGAAGGAAAATTTTAAAAAAAGGAGTATGATCTTAACACAGTGTTAACAACCAATTGGTGATGTTGGGAAACAAGTTTTAAATATAGTTTGAGATCCTGACAGAGATAAATAATTATACAGTCAACCCTCCCAAAACCGATCCTGTCAAAACCGATAACCTGCTATAATTGGTTAAAAATCAAGTCACCATGCCTGTTCCATAATTAATATCCGATAACCTGTAATTTCTAATAACCGGTAACCTTTATATCTATGTTTCTGATTTATTGGATAATATCACGTGTAAGATATCCAATCAAATCGCATAAAAGTTGTCAATATCACGTGATACAACGTTACAGTTATACGTACGTATGTACAGTACGTTTGCATGCACAGACACTTCTTTGCATGTTAAATTCATGTACACGCTTCAAATCTTTTGCTTTCAATAAACTCATAAATTTATCGAAAGCTTTAAGATCTATGAACTAGGCCTAGGTACTGTGTTGTATATGACATTTTATGGTATGCAGAATTTTGTATTAATGATCTTTAAAATGAGGTGTCAAAAACGAACTTAAATTATTAACTTATTCTACTAGCTAACACTAAGCAAGATACAATCGACACTTTATACCCACTAATAACTGATAAGTAACTAACCATTTATTATTTATATCGGATATTTTTGCCCACCATAGTATTATCGTGAAGTCATACGAGATTATAATTTTTTTTTTTTTGTTATTTAATTGTAAAGAAACCTTACCTGTTTGTAATTAAAATTTTTCGAAGCTGATTCATTAATATGTGATGTTATTTATTATTCAAGCCTTTGAAAGAATTAATCCAGTGTAGATTGAACCTGTTTTTCAGCCTCTTCCTTTCAAATCTCCTCACGAATACATGTTTGAAGCTTACGCAAAGCCTTCATTGTAATTCCACTATCATCAATTTTTTCATCAATGATTTGCAGAGCATTGCACAGAATTTTCAACTGTTCTTGTCTGGTTAAGGGTTGTATAATGACTTCATTCTCTACATGGTCTATTTCTGTAGCAGCTTGTACAAAGTCATCATCATTAAATTGTTGGTGTATATCTGTTTTTTCCTCCTCAAGGTCTAACAAAGCTTTAATTGGCATTGGATTACGAGTGCACAATGCATCTATTGTTTGCTGGAGCTTCATGGTGGCTAATTCATCATCTGGATCAACAAATAAGCTTTCTTCCACATCTTCGATGAGAGGAGATGGAGGAGGTGGGACAACTAGTACACCATCCTCATCATGTGGAGATATAATTTTTGTGTGAAACCAGCAATTTTTGATCGTATTAGCAGATATTTCATTCCAGGCAACCTTTATTAGTGTTAAAAGTATTGATATTTAGACTAATTAAAAAAAATATGAATGTACCATATCATCACGAAATAATACTCTGGGGCATTATTTCGAGACATGTTGCTTGAAGAGAATTAATAATTATTAGCTCTCTTCAAGCAGCATATCTCTAAATAATGCCCTGGGGTGTTATTTCGTGGCAATATGGCAGCAATTTTTAATTGAACATATAATATTTAAACTATGCTCAAATTTACTGTATTCAAAAAATATGAACATAGTTAAAATACCAACACTAACTTTTACCCATCTCATAGCCTGCAATTGATCGACTTTATATATGTCGTGTTTCTCAGCTTCATCAAGATCCAGTGCACATTGAAGTTGCATGCGACGATAATGAGTCTTAAATGATACAATAATACCAGCGTCCATGGGCTGTATTTTTGATGTTATATTTGGAGGTAACTTAAGTACTTCTACATTAGTTAGAGTAACAGCACCAGTAACATGTGAAGAGGCACCATCTAGGATGAGTAAAACATTATGATTTGATTTCCTCATTTCTTTGTCAAAATCTTCAATCTATTCCTGAAAATTGTGATACAAGTTAATAATAAAATTTTTTTTTATTTTTCAATAATTTGTTACTCGTTGCTAAACTATTTATGTAATTAATACAGTCGCACTCCCATATAAGCACCTCCTATACAGAGAAAAAAATTCAAATCAAAATTATGTACGCATTGCGCACATAATTTTAAATTTATTGTTTGTGCGCTGCACATATTATTAAATATAATGTGCACTTTTAATTTATTAACTATATAGCGCATATTATTTAAAATATACTGCTAATAAATTGTGTGCTTTGCACACAATTTTATATTTTTTTTGTGCGCAAAAAATTTTTATATGCAGAGCGACATGCGCACATCGAATTTTTTTCACTGCTCCTATATAAGTACATCACTTATATAAGCACATTTATTTTTTGAACCAACTAAGCATTATAAGTATGTGTTCTATATAAGAACACTTTTGTAGGTCCCGATAGTGTGATTATATAGGAGTGCGACTGTATTCGTTTTTAATTGAATATTCATTTTTATGTAGCTTTGCATTATTACCTGAAAAAACTTAGTGGTCATTCAGGCTCTTTGATTATTACGATAATAAAACCCAAGTTGTTCACCAGTTTTTTTTTTAAAACATCTGGGTTTATTGACATGACCAATAATGAAGGGCCAAAGCTTGTGTGTGCCATCAGCATTAGATGTAAGTGCAATTGTAAGTCGTATACAATCTTTTTTTGCTCCTTCAATTTAACGAGAGGCAATAGTACGATCAGGAGTCATAGAATAAAACAATCCAGTCTCGTCTATATTATAAATATTTCTTAGAGAATATTTATCGGTTTTACGAATAATATTAGGAAGGTTTAGTTCAATAGCTTCAAGATCAGCAGAGCCGCTCTCACCATGAAGCCTAAAGTGATGAAAGTTGTATCTTTCTTGAAAAGCTTGCAACCATCCATTCAAGAACTCTGGCTGATTGTCTTCTGGAATTTTCATTAAATCTGCTAATTTTTTACCCTTGGCTTTAATCATATCTCCATTTAGACATACAGCACGATCTTCACATTGTAAAACCCAATTCGCCAATGCAGTATCTAATTCAGGAAACAAAACAACACGACGTCTTTTAACTCTAAGATTACTTGTGGACATTGTATAAAATTCCTCCTTTCTTTTTAAAATATCCGAAATTGTACTTTGAGCTGGAGCTTTCAATAAATTAAACTCATTTTTTGCCCACTCTGCAAGCTCTTTTTGGGTAAGGTTGGGATTGTATTATAATGATCGCATATCAATTTTCTTTGATCATTGCGCAAATTCCCAGCTAAAACTACCTTATCTTTTTTTTTCCTATATTATAATATAGTAAAAGCTTAAAAATATTTTATAAAGTCGAAAAGAAAAAAGAATTTAAAATTTTTACTCAAGAGATGCGACCAGATCAATTTTTATATATTGAAAAATTGGGTTTCCTATATAAAAAAATTGATCTGGTCACATCTCTACGTACTGTATTTATTATGCCTTTTTTTTTTTACTAAATTCGTGTTTCAATCAAATTCATTTAATTTGATCCATTATTGATATCTCATAATCTAGTTATCAAATCTTGATGATTTTGGTACCATTTGAATCGTTTCAATGAGATGATTTAAATGGACCAAAATCATCAAGATTTGATTACTAATTTATGAGATATCAATGATGTATTGATTTTTTTGATTGAAATACGAATTTGGTAGAAAAAAAGCTTATTTACAAGTTATAAATTTCTTATTTCATAATTTTACTACTTGAAATACCGGAAATCTTATGTTATCTACAATACGCCTGTAACATTTGTATTTATTTTAGGTAAATTATTAATTTAACCCTTGATTTTTATCAGATTATCATATTACTTATTCACTAATATTTTTTAAATTGTAGGATGTTTATAGGCGTTACCCCAAAATTAAATATACCATATTAAAAGGTTCAAGTTTTAGAACAACATTTATGCCCGTTATTTCAAGATTTTATAGTAATTTAATCCAATTCATCTTTGAGTACTTATAACTTTTTCATTTATTTTATTTTATTTTTCAAAATTTTAATACTAAAATATACATTTCTTTGTGAGATAATTATACAGCACTTGTACAAGGTTACTATAATTTTCAACCAAAATATATGAAAGCGATTGGACATTTAATTTATCGTTATGCTTATATTAAAATACAGTAATGGTTTAACATCTATCTTCAGTGTTGCGCAACAACTTTGTTCTACCAAATTATAACACGGAATATCTGACTTATAGATTCTATACAAGTCTAATTTCAATTCAAGTTACTAGACTATTAAGTAACCTCAATGTATAGTACTAGTAAACATAATACTAACCTTGTATTTTTTTTTCACGACGAATTAGCTAAATTTAGACATTTATTGTCAATCCTATGACTTAAAGTTACAGGTTTATTTGGATTTTTTCCAGGTTTTGGCAGCATGTAATGAATTGCTAAATAGAGCAATTGATAAAATTGTGCAATTTAAAGTGCTTTGAGGGCATCCCGTTAAGGAAAGAAAAAAAATTGTGCAATTTAAAGTGCTTTGAGGGCATCCCATTAAGGAAAAAAAAAAAAAATTGCGCAATTTAAAGTGCTTTGAGGGCATCTCGTTAAGGAAAAAAAAAAATTGTGCAATTTTGGCTTTACAATTTGTGTATTGCTATGAAACCTATTTTGCAAACGACCCATAATAACCCAAAAATGACCAATTACTTTAGTCATCTAATTATCAGGTCATCTAACAATTGCTCGTGATCAAATGGCTCAGGTCATTTAAAAATAACTAAAGTAATTCGGGTCATTAAGTCATTATTTATATCATAATCGAGTGACATGACAAGAATTGGTTGTATATTAGTACGTAAGTACTTAGCGATGCAGTAAAAACTCAAGGCATTGGGATTTCTATAAAAATTTTCAAAAAATGTATTCTGACTTTCTCCCAACTATTGTCCTATTTCGTTCCGGGGAATGCTCATTTTTTAGAACAAACATTATTAATTCCTGGTTACTTCAATAGAATCCTGGTAATTTTCTTGCAGAAATCAAATCCAGATTGATCCAGATTTGATTTTTACCCTGAATTTATTAGAAATGACCAGGAATTTATATATGTTGTTCAGAAAAATGTGCAATTTCCAGAATAATAATGGAATGAAACTGAATGTAAGCAATGCAATGGTATCCTTTTAAGTTTATGTATAATAATATTTACAATTACAAAATTATGTGTTCAAGACATGTTCAATTCTCAAATTTGATTGGTTGATGCGGGTCGACCCATCATGTAGTATTTTTCAAATCTGATAACCTGCCAAAACCGATACAAAATCCATCCACCATGCATATCGGTTTTGGGAGGGTTGACTGTATACAGGTCATATCTAGGTACTTTAGTATTGAGTAAGTTTTTCTTACACTTTTAGATTAGCTTATATACTGTTATAGATAGCAATAGTCACTGTAAATTCTAATAAAAAAGAAAAGCAGGATCGTCTAATTAAAATATATATATATATATATATATGTAATATTATATATTAAAATAGCTCTTTTTTACAATTTTTCAAAAAATATTTTTATTATATTCATATAAATTTTGACATGATTGACATTTTTCAATTATAAATGAAAGTTAATTTGTATAATAAAAAATCAAGATAAAGTTAAAGAAAAATTCACAAGGCTTCATAGAGCCAACATATTACAAGATTATTTAATAGTTGCTTGCTACCTTTAATCAATCAAAATTATAAAATTTAATTAATCCCAGATTAGTCCAAAAATCAAAACAAGTAATTAAACTCAATTATCTCAAAATAAGATATATGTAAAAAAGGGCTGTTTTAATGTATAACATCTTATATAGTCATGAGAACTAAAATACCTATCCCTTAATATGTAGACCAACGCAGGCAAATTTGCCTGCGTTTTTGCACTTTTTTAGCTCTGATTTACTTTTTT